TTCACTAAGTTATAAAATATATAAAGTGGCTGGATGCGGTGGCTCACACCTGTAACCTCAGCACTTTGGGAGGCCGAGGTGGGTGGATTGCTTGAGGTCAGGAGTTCAAGACCAGCCTGGCCAACATGGTGAAATCCCATCTCTACTAAAAATACAAAAAATCAGCCAGTTATAGTGGCATGGGCCTGTAGTCCCAGCTACTCGGAAGGCTGAGGTAGGAGAAGCACTTGAACCCGGGAGGCGGAGGTTGCAGTGAGCTGAGATCACACCACTACACTCCAGTCTGGGCAAGAGTGAGACTCCATCTCAAAAAATATAATACAATAAAATAAAATATATAAAGTGATTAAGCCTTGGTCGGGTGTGGTGGCTCACACCTGTAATCCCAACACTTTGGGAGGCCGAGGTGGGCAGATCATGAGGTCAGGAGTTCGAGACCAGCCTGACTAACATGGTGAAACCCCATCTCTATTAAAAATACAAATATTAGCCGGGCGTTGGTGGCATGCGCCTGTAATCCCAGCTACTCAGGAGGCTGAGGCAGGAGAATCGCTTGAACTCGGGAGGTGGAGGTTGCAGCGTGCCGAAATCGCACCATTGCACTCCAGCTTGGGCAACAGAGCGAGACTCCGCCTGAAAAAAAAGTGATTAAGCCCTTTTCACAAACATCCATGTACATTTCCAGTTTTAGGTCACCATGAATAATACAATCACTCTTTAGAAAGAGTTTTATAAGTTGGTCACAAGCATTGGCTATACTGTTATTTTAGGCTAAATATTTTTGCTAAAAGGTTATGTCATACAGTAATCATGACTTAAGAAAAGCAACTACTTACAGTCGGTACTCAAGTCAATTTAAAATAGCCTATTAAACATAGGCAAGTTTTGTATCCTGAAACTATAAATTTTTAAATTTAGACAAACTATATTATTCATTGCAACATATGGATTTAATACTAACTTTATTGTTACTAACATTACTCTGAAAGTTTGCAAACAAAAAGTCTTACCTTTTTCTAGAAACATAAGAATTTATAAAAATATATAACAAATTACCAAGGGAGAAGGTAGAACTACACAAAGCCAAAAATGATGGGAAAAAAAAAGTCTGGTGTCGAATCTAATATGGATTACTAAAATCCAAAAACAACAACAAAAAAAAATGTAAAAGCCAAATAATGCACCTTTTTGGATAGCTAAAGAAGAAACAGTAGAGAATATATTTTTTAAAAAGATTATGAACCCCGCATTGTAAAAATAAATCACTGCTTTAAAATATAGATTTTCTATCACCCAAAATCTTATTTCTGATCAAATTATAAGGCATATTATACTAAAGTTACATTAAGCATAAATAATTCATTTTATAGAAAATAAGTTATTTTCTATATATAACAACAGATGTTATACACAAACTATTAAAACAAACAAATCTACCCCAAGAATTTGCAAGAATCCCTTCCTGCACATTGAAGCACATTTAAGGCCCAGAAACTGGCCAAATACTACTTCTTTAATTAAAAATAAATTGGCATTAGGCCAGGAGTGGTGGCTCATGCCCATAATCCCAGTACTTTGGGAGGTCAAGGCTGGCGGATCACCTGAGGTCAGAAGTTCAAGACCAGCCTGACCAATATGGTGAAACCCTGCCTCTATTAAAAATACAAAACATTGGCCGGGTGCGCTGGCTCACACCTGTAATTCCAGCACTTTTGGAGGCCGAGGCGGGCAGATCACGAGGTCAGGAGATGGAGACCATCCTGGCTAACACGGTGAAACCCCATCTCTACTAAAAATGCAAAAAATTAGCCGGGCGTGGCGGCGGGCGCCTGTAGTCCCAGCTACTTGGGAGGCTGAGGTAGGAGAATGGTGTGAACCCGGGAGGGGGAGCTTGCAGTGAACCAAGATCGTGCCACTGCACTCCAGCCTGGGCAACTGAGCGAGACTCCGTCTCAAAAAAAAAATACAAAAAATTATCTGAGCATGGTGGTACATGCCTGTAGTTCTAGCTACTCAGGAACCTGAGGCAGGAGAATTGCTTGAGCCAATTCTCAGGGGAAGGTTGCAGTTGCAGTAAGCCAAGATCATGCCACTGCACTCCAGCCTGGGCAACAGGACAAGACTCCATCTCAAAACAAACAAATAAATAAATCATTGGCATTAAAATATTTTTCCAGGTCAATTCTAACAGCAGACTCACAGGAATTAATACCCAAGAACTCAAAGATTGATACTCTTTTTCCACTCCTTAAATAAAAAAATTTAGCCTTATTGCTATTTAAGCTGTTTGATATTATAATACTATAACTAAAAAAAAAAAAATTGTTATAAAGATAAGTAAAAAAACAAAGCACAAAACTAAATCTGTGGTGTGCTCACAATGACATAAAAACTGTCAAACTAGGTTGGGTGTGGTGGCTCACGCCTGTAATCCCAGCACTTTGGGATTACAAAGCAGGTGGATCACCTGAGGTCAGGAGTTTGAGACCAGCCTGGCCAACATGGTAAAACACCGTCTCTACTAAAACTACAAAAATTAGCCAGGTGTGGTGGTGCATGCCTGTAGTCCCAGCTACTTGGGAGGTCGAGGTAGGAGAATTGCTTGAACCTGGGAGGCGGAGGTTGCACTGAGTCGAGATTGTGCCACTGCACTCCAGCCCGGACAACAGAGCAAGACTCCATCTCAAAAAAAATAAAAATAAAAAACAAACAGCAGCAGCAACAACAAAAAAAAAACTGTCAAACTAAAGGAAACATCAAAATGCCACCAGTAGTTGTCTTCAGGTAGTAGAACTAAGGGCTATTTATTTTCTCTTTCTACTTTATAATTATTTTTTTTTTAATTAATAAAAGATTAGGGGCCAGGTGCATGTTGCCAGGTGGCCAACACAGTGAAACCCCATCTCTACTAAAAATACAAAAATTAGCTGGGCGTGGTGACAAGCACCTGTAATTCCAGCTACTTGAGAGGCTGAGGCAGGAGAATCGCTTGAACCCGAGCTGAAGCAGGGTAGATTGCTTGAGGTCAGGAGTTCAAGACCAGCCTGGCCAATATGGTGAAACCCCATCTCTACTAAAAAATACAAAAATTAGCTGGGCATGGCGGCACACGCCTATAGTCCCAGCTTCTCAGGAGAGTTAGGCAGGAGAATCACCTGAACCTGGGAGGCAGAGATTGCAGTGAGCCAATATTACACCACTGCACTCCAGCCTGGGCGACAAGAGCAAAACTCCATCTCAAAAAAATATATATATTATTATTACAATTAATTTATTCACTCTCAAGCAATTATCTCCTCAAATACAGGGGTAAGTTTTTTTTAAAAAAAAAGAAACTTTATCTGGCAATAGTTGCTCAAAATCATGGCTACCACAACTACTTAGTACTTCATATAGTACAGTAACACCGTCTATTGTCATCCAAGTGGCAGTACTTCCCTGCACACAGTTTCTCCTAAGCTGAATGGCTAAAATTTAAGTAACCAGTTATGGTGGGATTTATTTTTTAGAAAAAGAAGTATCTCCTTAAACTAAATCCTAGATTTTATGCTAGATTTTTCTATCATTTTACTCCCATAAAAGTAGCTATAATCAAATTAGAATTATAAGAATATATTAATACTTGTATCTCTTAGAACGTAATAAAATACTGGACCCCTTCACCTTCAAAATACTGAGCTAATGGCCATTAGAAAAAAATCTACTAGACAAAAAGACAAAATGAACTCAGATACATAAACTGGAAAAACAAACAACTAGGTTATTATTCTTACCCAATTTGGGAGCAAAATAGAGAGAGAAAAGCCAGCCAGTCCTACAGCAGAACAAGGTTGCTGAGTTTACTGAGACACTAAATTTTTGTAAGTCGAGGACAGCCAAGTAACAAGACAGGTGGCCAGAGGAGAAATATGGTGTGATATGCTTCACTGCCAAGATACTCAAGGAGGTAAATCTTCACCTTGCTCCTTCCCTTCTATTCCCAAGTCACATAAAATCACAATGGCAAGACTTCGGAATGAGAGCCAAGGGTAAAGAAAGTAGGCATAATATCCCAAGTGGCAATCTTAACCTAGTTTGTGAATCTTAACTTAGAATGACAGTTTTTAATTACTTAAAACAGTGAAACCCAGTATTATCCTACAAACTGATGAACTATCTGAAGGACAGTACAAAGTAAGAAATGGTGACTTCTTTTTTTTTTTTTTTTGAGACAGAGTTTCACTCTTATTGCCCAGGCTGGAGTTCAATGGCGTGATCTCTGCTCACAGCAATTTCCACCTCCCGGGTTCAAGCAATTCTCCTGCCTCAGCCTCCTGAGTAGCTAGGGTTACAGGCATGCGCCACCACGCCCAGCTAATTCTGTATTTTTAGTAGAGAAGGGGTTTCTCCATGTTGGTCAGGCTGGTCTTGAACTGCTGACCTCAGGTGATCCGTCCACCTCGGCCTCCCAAAGTGCTGGGATTACATGCGTGAGCCACCACACCCAGCCAGTAGTGACATATCTTAATGTATTCTAATAATTTTATTCTGCATATATATTTGTGATCTTTCTGCTGAGTTTGTTTTCTCAAATTTAATATGCAAACATTTTCATTTTTCATGGCCTCAATTTCCACTTAACAGTATGATAAAGCAAGCATAATCTTAGTTTCAGCTCTGCCATACAATAGCTTACTGGGCTTTAACAAGTGTCTGGACCTAAGTTTCTTCATTTGTTTACTGAGAGGAGTTGGTCCAAATGACTCAAAAAGACTCTCCTATTCAAAAATAATCACTGTATCATTCTTACAGAATGACATCAAGTTGTTCTGGGTAACATCCACTTTTAACTGGAGAAACACTGCCTCTGGACTAAAACAGTGGGTATATTCCTCAAGCAATCATTCACCATATTAACACTGGTGAAGACAGTACTGTGGATTTACCCCCGCCCCAACTCCATACTTCATCCAACCTCCAGCACAACAAACCCATCACTACCTACTTATTAATTTACTTACAGAGGAAATGGGCAAGCCAACCCCTACTAGGATGAGGACAGTGGATGTGACGGTACTGTCATGGTACGGATAGTTGATGCTGTTGTCTTTACAGAAAAAGCCTCTCTGAAATGGATATATTTGGCCCAATTTTAGAACAGCCATAGGCATGGAAGCTGTTGGGGAAGGGAAAAAAAGACACACATGATTAAATTCAATTCACTTCATTAGGAAGTAAAGTCTACTGAATGGGATGCAAATTCTAGCCATATTTTACCCTCTCTGGAGATGGATCTCCATTATACCCAAGGGCAAAGATTAAGAAAATCATGCAGCATCATTTGCTTGTCCATATCAGCCCCACCTTTTTCCAAGTATAAATACTATTACTTGCATTGACCTCCAATTTTAGAAATAACCAATAAAAGAGACTTCTACAAGGAGAGCAAAATTGGCCCATGGAAAAATAAAGCTGAGAAAACAGGAAGGTTTTCCATTTTGCATTCTGTAGTTAATTCGTTTTTAATTGAATTGCTTTATATTGAACTGTGTTTAAGAAAAAAGGCAAAATTCCATAAATAAATTCAGTAATTAATATCATAACAGCCCAGTATCATCCAGGAGAAGAAACATGTAGAACTTTGCTTCACATTAGAATTTCTAAATTTTTTTCTACATTAGAATTTAAACTAATAGGGTTAGAAAACAATAGAAACCAAGCCAAGTATGGTGGCTCATGCCTGTAATCCCAGCACTTTGGGAGGCCAAGGCGGGCAGATCACTTGACATGAAGAGTTCAAGACGAGCCTGGCCAATATGGTGAAGCCCCGTTTCTACTAAAAACACAAAAATTAGCCAGACGTGGTAGTGCACGCCTGTAGTCCCAGCTACTGGGCAGACTGAAGCAGGAGAATCACTTGAACCCAGGGGGCAGAGGTCGCAGTGAGTCGAGATTGCACCACTGCACTCCAGCCTGGTCGACAGAGCAAGACTCCATCTCAGGAAAAAAAAAAAAAAAAAGAGAAGAGAGAGAAGAAAGAAATGATAGGAACCATAAGTATATATTTCAGTAAAAAAGAGAAAAGAAAAAGCTTTTGTATCCCAAAGACCACAAACCACGAACCACGCTTGGTTTTATTAGCCCCTGGCAAGGCTCCAAAACCACTTTTTAACAAGTTATACCGAAATAATTTCAGTTGAAATTTGCACCTAAATAAATGACCCTGGAAAGATCAAAGTTAAATAATTTAAAATTAGTGGCTTCTTAAGATGTTCAAGGCCGTGCGTGTGGTCAAGCCTGTAATCCCAGCACTTTGGGAGCCGAGATGGGACGGATCACCGAGGTCTCAGGAAGATCGGAGACCATCCTGCTAACACAGTGAAACCCCGTCTCTGCTAAAAAATACAAAAAACTAGCCGGGCGAGGTGGCGGGCGCCTGTAGTCCCAGCTACTCAGGAGGCTGAGGCAGAAGAATGGCGTAAATCCGGGAGGCGGAGTTTGCAGTGAGCCGAGATCCGGCCACTGCACTCCAGCCTGGGCAACAGAGCTAGACTCTGTCTCAAAAAAACAAAAAAAAAAAGATGTTCAAATTTACCATGCTTTTAGGCTTTGTTTTATACAATTCAAACATTCAAGCATCTACTCACTCACTGTATGCGCAATACTAAGCCATACTTAGGGAAGACAAATTTGTATAAAACAAATACTAAATTCAAGAACCTAAATTGTATATGCAGAAAAAGAATGTATACCCAGTAAATTGTTTAAAAAGAAATCCCAAGGCAGATTTTTTGGGGAAAATGATGAAACTGTTCTGTATCTTGATTGAGATAGTAATTCCACAACTCTTTTATTACATGTAAAGTTAAGAAGAAATACGATAAAAGGCAGAAATATGCCATAAAAATACGAATATAATTACTAAAATGGCATAGAAGGACCTATAGGAATTCAGAGCTCAACATAAACTGGAGGAGTTAGAAAAGACTATTAAAGAAGAGGCAACTGAGTTGAACTTGAAATGACAGGTAAAAGACAGGCAATAGGGAGGAGCACGGGGAGACCATTTAGTGGTAGAGGAAGGCAGGGAAGCATGAGAATTGCAACAAGAGCACAAAGGGAATGAGCAGCAAGTTTTCAAGGTACATACATTTTGTAGCCAACATGTATTGCACGCTTGCACATGCTGGGAATTAGGCCACATAGATTAACTCAATCCTTACCTCACCTCTGTGAAGTAGGTATTATCACTACTTGCTTTTTTCATATAACGTTGTTGAAGCTTAGAGAAATGAGGAACATTGCTGAAACTAGAAAGTGGTGGAACCAAGGTTCCAACACAAGCTATCTCTTTCTAGAGTTAGGGAATATATGGCCTCCCATGGAGACAAGTGATCTGGTTAGGTTAACAGGTTAGAACTGCAGCAAGGAAGATATGATTGGGAGAAGGAGAACCTGTCCTTTAAAAACCTCACTTAGTATAACACATGCCATGTTCATGATAAGAACTCAAAGCAGGCTGAGTACAGTGAGTGGATCACACCTATAAACCCAACATGTTGAAAGGTTGAGGCAGAAGGACCCCTTGAGTTCAGGAGTTCAAGACTAGTCTGGGCAACATATTGAGACCTCATCTCTAAAAAAGAAATTTTTTAATTGGCTGGGCATGGTGGCATGTGCCTGTAGTCCCAGTTACTCAGGAGGGTGAGGGAGGAGGATACCTTGAGCCCGAGAGGTAAAGGCTTCAGTAAGCCATGTTCACACCACTGCACCCCAGCCTGGGTAACAGGACAACACCCTGTCTCAAAAAAAAAAAGAGGAGGAGGAGGAAAAAAAAACTGAAAGTTAATGGAACAATGTATTATTTGCTACAGATTATCTCTGAATTCTGCAATTCTATGGTTTTTCATGGGAATAACAGTGCTTGAGATTTCTGGGTTTATTAAAAGATTATAGGAGTCAGGCACGGTGACTAACACCTGTAATCCCAGTGATTCAGGAGGCTGAGGCGAGAGGATCACTTGAGGCCAGAAGTTCAAGATCATTCTGGGCAACACAGCAAGACTCTGTCTCTAAAAAGTATTTTTAAAAATTAGCTGGGAGGCCAGGTGAGGTGGCTCATGCTTGTAATCCCAGCACTTTGGGAAGCCGAGGCAGGTGGATCACAAGGTCAGGCGATCAAGACCATCTTGGCTAATACGATGAAACCCTGTCTATACTAAAAATACAAAAACTTAGCTGGGCGTGGTAGAATGCACCTGTAGTCCCAGTTACTTGGAAGGCTGAGGCAGGAGAATCACTTGAACCTGAGAGGCAGAGGTTGCAGTGAGCTGAGATCGCGCCACTGTACTCCAGCCTGGGCGTCAGAGTGAGACTCCATCTCAAAAAAAAAAAAACACTAGCTGAGCATAGTGGTACACACCAATAGTCCCAGATATTTGGGAAGCTGAGGAGGAAGAATCACTTGAGCCCAACAATTTGAGGCTACGTTGAGCCATGATTATGCCACTGTATTCCAACATGGGTGACAGAGCAAGACTCCCAACTCCAAAGAAAGAAAAAGGATTATGGGTTTAAAACACTTGAAATGACGAAAGTTTGTAGGAAATAAAATATCACTGTCCTCTTTTGCTCAGGGTCAGCAACATGGTAAAATGAGGAAGTTTAGAAATTAATTTCCAGAAAAAAAAAGAGAAAGAGAGAGAGCAAGAAGAAACACAAGTATTTACAGTTTTGAAATAATCTACTAATTAGGTGATAAGTAGTGAGTAGATAGTGGAAACCGAATAGGATGCACAGAAGAATGTTTTGAATACAGAAATGATACAAAACTTGTGGACTGATCACAAATGCTGAGACAGACCTGGAGATGGCACTTCACGGTTTGGACATACGAAAAATGAAACTTCCATTGATAGAAATGAGAAGTTGCCAGGGGAAGCTAGTTTTTTGGAACAGATACCTTTATTCCAAAAAACAATGGAATAGTCTTTATCTGCTACTGAGATGGTTTTTTTGTTTTGTTTTGTTTTGTTTTTGTTTTTGTTTTGAGACAGAGTCTTGCTCTGTGGCCCAGGCTGGATAGTGCAGAGGTGCGACCTTCGCTCACTGCAACCTCCACCTCCCAGTTTCAACTGATTCTCCAACTTCAGCCTCCTGATTAGCTGGGACCACAGGCACATGCAACCAAGCCCGGCTAATTTTTGTAGTTTCAGTAAAGATGGGTTTTCACCATGTTGACCAGGCTCATCTTGAACTCCTGCCCTCAAGTGATCTACCTGTCTCGGCCTCCCAAACTGCTGGGATTACAGACATGAGCCACCATACCCGACCGAGATTATTTTTAATGTTAACTTTTTAGAGTAGTGCTGAGAGTTCTGTGTTAAAGTTAGTGTTCTAGGAAGATTCTTCTCCTTATAAACACTTTTTTAGGACAGATACACTTTCTCCTTAATATCTAAAGAACATAGATACTGTTTTGACCCTAATCATAGTTCTAGGATATTTTTCTCTTAATTAAAATTTCCTTAAGAGGAGTCACTTTTAAATTCTATAATAACCGCCGGGCATGGTGGCTCATCCTCTACCTGGGACTACAGCTGCTATCAGGCAGCCTTCTCCACACAGCTCTCTTTTTGGGGTAGCACTCCTTTTCTTTGTGCTTCAGATCTAAGGGGCAATATTCCCATCCTCTCTGTTGCTAGCCCAGGATACTACAATATCTCTTGTTGATTTTCTAAACTCTGCCCACCTATTTGTGAATACTCGCTTCATTTAATCCTCTTCAAATTATCCAGCTTGAGTATGCCATCTGTTTCTTATCAGGACCATGGGTGACAGTACCACATACATATTTTGATCTTGCTAAACACAACTGTTAGGCATGTATGTCTGCTCTTAGTGCACTATTTCTATGATATGTCAAGGAAAACAGACACATGAATACCTGGATAGATGCAAACAGATGTTCCCATATTCTCCTTAGTTCAGTGATAGTTGAAATCTCTTCCATTTTATTAAATATATATCATATATACTTCCTCAAATATGTGCTGTTACAAAATATTCCAATGGAATAAATCTAAAATGTATTTTACAAAGAGAAAGACTAAAGTACATCAATGTTAATCCCTAATATATAGAAGGTAAAGAAGTACTAAATTTATTTTGAAAAGA